GCTTCTGAAGTAGGGACAGGAGTGAAACAAGGCTGTCTACTGTCACCCATGATATTCTTGATTGTGGTGGACTGGATCATGCAACAAACAGTGGAGAGCGATAAGAGGGGGATGTGCTGGCTGGACAGCAGAAAAAAACCTAGAAGTTTTGGATTTCACCGATGACTCGTGTCTGATGTTGCATAAACTTGAAGATCTATAGGCGAAAACTAACAAGTTGACAGAAGAGTTGAGGCAGGGCAGCGAAGATGGGACTTCAAGTGAACGTAGAGAAGACACATTTGATGAAGACACCCAACCAACAACACCATCAACAACAAAAAGCTCCGATCACCATCAACGTCAGAAACCTAAAGGAAGTAGCCTCTTTCAGCTACCACCGAGGCAGCATCGTTTCAGCTACAGGCGGCACAGACGAGGACGTCAAAGTCAGGATTGGAAAAGCAAGACAGGCGTTCATTAGCCTGAAGGTCAGGGCTTCTATATGATAGTTGAGAGACTGGGTGCCTTACGAAAGGAATTTTCAACGAACTACAGACATTCATCAACAACTGCCTACGCTGGCTCGTTACTGAAGATCAGATGGCCAGAAACAATAACCAACAAGGAACTCTGGCTGGCTGGTTGACAACGAACCAACCAAGAACCTATCGCTCAGTAAATATGCAGAAGGAAGTGGAGATGGATTGGGCATACACTGAGAAGGCCGACTGGGAACATCACATGTCAGACCAGGCCCTCGAGTAGAACCCCGATAGGAAACGACGAGTTGGGCGTCCGAGGAGAGAGTGACATGAAGGAGATCGTGCGAGGAGGAAATGAGAGCTTGTGGGCTATTGTGGAGCCAGGTTAGGAAGATTTCAGAGAACAGAGCGCATTGGAGACGTGCTACTGAAGCCCTGTGTTCCATTAGGAACCCAAGGGACAAATGATATAATAAACAATAATTCAGTTCTCTGAAAGATAAAAAATTCTGGTAATTTACTTGATTCTTGCTGGCAGAGAAATCCAGAAAGCATTTTTTTCCTACTTGGGACTCGTTAGCAGGATGTACCTGCACCACAGTGAGTAATTTTTGCCTCACTGAGACTAGAACCTCCTATTTATCGTTCCCGACGCTAAAGCGTTATCCACTAGGCCACCGAGGTACGATAGCCACCTCCTGTACAACGGGTATTAGTTACCACTACTTTTTGTTTTATTGGATCGAACTGTTCCACCTCTATTGACACATGGGCTTTTATTCAGATTTTATGAAAGTGTTTTACCATTTAAATTTAGATTTCATCTATGATACAGTTTTTCAGTATTTCAGATGTCTCAATATATTACGTTCACAGAAAAATATAATATTGGTTAAGTCGATGTCAGTGTGACTTGGTTGTAACCTTGAAGCTTATGACAATGTGTTTATTGTGCAACTTGTGTCTGTTTTAAAAAAAAACAATAGAGAACTTTGAATGTCTTTTATATCACTTCTATTTTGTAATGCACCACTTAAGTATCGAAGGGTCTATGATGCTTTTTACAATTTGACTATATTCATTATTATAATCTAAAGTCTTTTTATACTAAATTTACTATACTTAAGAGCATTTGCGCAACATTAGTGTAAGAAAAGGGTGTTTGTTGAAAAATAGACAGATTTAATTAACACAGAATTGGCAACAGTATATAAATGTACAGGTTTTCACACTTCGCATCAGTGCATCAAGAAACAAGGCAACCACAGAGAAAACTAAGAAGTGAATATAATGTCGTCTGAAGTCATATATCGCTGCATGAAAGAAATAAAGGACTGTATGAAGATGAAAATACGGTATATATCTTTCAAATCTTTTGCAGTTTGCCTTCAGCCTTCCCATAAATAATTTTTAATCATTCATTTTCGTAATAATATAGACTACAACCTGAAACTCAACATTTCTCTACACTGTTAAGACTAACCTTTTAAACATTTCACTAATTGGTCTGATGTCTTGATAAAATGTCATAAGTCGTATTATCTCCTAAAGTAAAAATTACGAAATGGAAGAATATAAAACATCAGTTTATCCTTAGACTGAAACACAAATTAAACTTTTACGTCAACTACAACTTGTTTCTTTATCGAGCTGGATGTAATTATCACACAAAAAATGTGAAGTAAAGCAAGCAGAACATAAATATGTTTTAGTGTTATTGCCTGTATTACACCATCGTTGATTGGACCTAATTGATTAGTCTCTGTTGGCATGTGGGTTCCTGTGCGGATGCCTCGATATTGCCTGTGTTTTTTCAATTATGTTTAGTAGTGATGGGCAGTGGCTAGGAGTGGAATCCAGGACACGCATTTCGTTCTATTTGGGACTCGTCAGCTGGATGTACCTGCCTTCCAGTGAGTGATGTTGTTTCCACCGGGAACAACAGAGACTGATCAATTCGGTCCAATCAACGACGGTATAATCCAAGCAATAACACTAAAACTATACCCGTCGAACAAGAAGTGACTATCTTGGCTCGGCAGTGTAGCGGATAACACTCTCGCGTTTGAAGCGATCGCTCCCGAATTCGAGTCCCAGTGGGAACAACGTCACTCACTCGGAAGCAGGTACATCCAGCTGACAAGTCCCGAATAGGACGAAATGCGCACCATGGATTCCACTGCTAGCCACTATCCATTAACAATATAAATATGTTTGGTTAGATCTATTGTCTGCTTCTGTTAGTCTGGTAGATAAAGTAATAATCAAGGCTAAAATCGTTAGATTATCAATTACTTAGGCAAAAGAAAGTGATTTGAAATCATGTTTATGTTGAGAATATAGTCAAATTTCAGAATCTGCATAAGTCTTTCATTTATCAAGTTCATTTCAGGCAACTATTTTTTCACTTCCTGTCTATTATTTTCTTTAATCAGTGTATCATAATTGGGAATAATAATTTCACTAAATGATTGAATTTATAATAATAATGTGCACTTGATAATATTCTAGTTGTTAAATAATTCTGCTTATTTGCTTGTATCCTTGTAATTTGTTTATTCAATTTCACATTCGAATAACTTTATTTTCTTAATGTCTAACTTTTGGTGGTTTGTGTTCACTACAAACTATGAATTTGGATTATTCCATTCGTTGTTATTTTGACACATACTTGTTTTGATCAGTGTTTTGAGAAAATACGCTATTTAAGATATAGTAAGACGCATTAGACTGGTTATACATCATGAGATTTCTGTAATCGGAAAATAACTAAAGTCTCATCTGTAAATATATTCAGACATAATGACTGTAATATATATAAGAGTGATCTTGGTCATCATTAATCTCTAGACAGTATAATCCTATTGGTAGCTTATTTATGAACGTACAGTAGACAGTCTGTCTAGATGAATTTTTCGGAATGTTTTAGGTTGGAATTCATCATGGACTGATATCACTTGAAAGGATATTGGAAACCTGAGAGCCCTGGACAGGTGTTTCATCCTAGTATGGGACTCCTCACTAATGGGTACCCATGACCCTGTCCCACCAGGGATCGAACCCAAGACCTCCAGGTTCCATGACTGACACGTTAACATTCAGCCACTTGGTGGAAATCCAGTGATCTACATTTCCTACTTCTGTCTGTTCATGATATAGCGTGACCTACATCCAATGTCGTCGTTGGGTATCTGTCTTCATATTCAACTTGTTTGACTCCAGAATATGCCTAAAAGTCTCCAAAATCAGTTTTCTAATCTATCCATCTGCATAGTTAGTCAATGAAAAATACTAAAAATTTACTTACTAAAGGATGAATACAGATATAATTGAAATCGAGCTGAAACATAACTGTATTACCTAGAGTACTTGATCGCCTTGAAGAAATCTTAGAAAAGAGTTCAACAAATTGTAAGCTAACTGTTATAAAGCACAGTGGAACAGCAATTCCAGTATACTTTTGATGCGATTATTTCGTAAGTTTAACAATCTTTCATCATGTTTCAATGAAATAAACAGTCTTTATCAGAATCATAATTATAGTAAGCAACTTTGTTAATTCTGTCTTCTAAATAAATGTCTTTCACTATGAAGTCGTACAAAGTTTTTCTAAACAAAAAAAATACATTTTTCTATTACTTTTTCGATATGTTATATAGATCAGTCATATTGATTTTGAAATATTTCGAATCTGAATATCATTTAAAAATTCAGCTCGAAACAATCAATTCTTTGATTTCCATACTTACTACAGAAATGAGATACAAGAAAGACTAATATAATCATAATCATATTCTACTACCAAAATGATATTAGAAATCGATAAATCAAGCAACACAATGTATCTACAAATCTGTGATATAAAAACATAATGAATTATATTTTTATGTTAAATAGTGACGAGAATACACAGCACTATTAATTATGAAAAGTTGACCTTTTTGTATCTACAATACGGTCTGTTAGAGAGTTAGTCACAGATAAATCGATGGATTATTTTTAGTTAGTTTTTTTTTCCTATCAGGTGTTGTTAAAAGATAGAAGTAGAAACTTATGGAATAAGAGACAATTAAAAATTTGGTCAAGGATATACTTTATTTTTTTGATGGTAATAACTAACATGTAACTGTGATTCAAGTTGTCTGTCTCTTTGTCTTTCTTTTTCATTATGCATTGAAATAATCAATTTTTATTCATATCATTTACTCTTTCAAGAGGTGTATATTCATAACTGAATATGCCAATTATTATTGAATATACTTAACTATTTATTTCTGTGTCTTTAACAGTCTCTTAAATTACTAAATTGTTTCTAAATACAATAAATTATAATCAAAGACTAATTACTCTTCTTTTTTTTCAAAATCATTTTAATATTTTAAAATGATAATATACTTTTTCTCATAATTGAATTATTAACAATATAACTGCTCCAATGATACTAGGGGCATATTTTCTGAAATCAATCATATATATATATATATATATATATATATATATATATATATACTGAATATCATTTCTCAAATTTGAATATCAATTTCTACTTATATGATAAAATGATCTATCTGTTGTATCATTTGTTTCTTTCTTTTTTAATATTCCAATTCTAAAAGCAAACCATTTCATCTTGTCAACAACTTCCTCTTGCATTAATTTAAAACACATAGCAAACACTGACAAGCCAATAGCTACATACAAACAAATGATGATCATTTTCTCTTTTGGGTTGGTTGAATCAATTTTTGTACCTGTAAAAAACAAATGAAAAATAAAATCATGAAATTCAATGAAGATTAAAATTTGAATTATTTTTAGGTTTATTTTATTACAGTTTTAAAAAGACTCTCAAAAATAAAGGATGTCTGAAAGATAATTACTCTTAATCAACCATTTCTTAGAAGTTAAGTTTTTTATTGAAATGTGATCCAACAGTGTCAAATTTCACACAGAGTATAGAAGTCTTCAAACTCAACTTCTGTGTGTGATATTTTTTTAAATACGATTGGTAAGTGGTATAGAGTAATTAGAATGTGCAGCATAGTTGTGTCACAGTCTTATATTGAGTTAATTCAGGGAGGTCGAATTTTTAACACCAATTTAAGATGTTCGCTATCAGAATAGTTCGTTATAAGAGTATTTTTTTATAGAAGTCATTTATAAATTGATTTTAGAGGTTTGTAGAGATTTCTTTGATTTTAAGTTGGTATCGCTTGCAGTGTTCTTTTGACCTAATGGGTCAATGGTAACGTGCTGACCATGAAACCCGAAGGTCATGGGTTCAATACCTGGTGAGGTCGATGGTGTATACTGCTGAGAAGTTCCATACTGGGACGAAACAGCCATTCTGCTTTTCCAGGTTTCCAATGGGTCTCCAAATGCTGTCTGTCAGTGATGAATATCAACTTGAAATCAATAAAAAGGGCTGACTTAGTCGAACGACGGTTTAATCCATTATTTTGTTCTGTACTTTTTCTAGAACCCAATTTTTCATATTAAATTCAAAAACTTTATACTTTTGACTGAATGGATTGATATAGAGTAACTCGAGATACAGAGATGAGCATTAACTGAATGCAATTTAACGATTTATTTGAGTGATGAAAGTAAAAATAACCTTGTATGAGAATTAACCCTCTTTTGCAGAATATCCATACTTTTCACAGCGGATGTCACTGTTGGTTGAGCTACATTTGCTTATCCGTTACACTTCCCAATTACTAACTAATTACAATTAATGCATACTAGCTGATGAAGAGCAGATAAAAAGTGAAATCATTAAATATTAGTGGAATCTTCAAACTTGACAGTGTTGATTAATATAAGTGAAAAACTTGGGCACTGTGGTAGAATGTAGTTCCATATTAGATTTGTTTATTTGATATAAAGCACACAGTGAATAAATAATAATAATAATAAATAAATAAATAATACTGTATCACTGTGCGCTTTATATCAAATAAACAAATCTAATATTGACAGTGTTGAGTTAGAATAATGACAAGGGGATGGCAGCATATAAACTTACATGTACAGTTACAACTGAAAATATTCTAATTATGTTTTATTGAAGTACATAGGTCAGACAAGCCTATCGGGGTCAGTCAGATTAGCAGGACAGGAATTTGGCTGAATATAAAATAGCAGACCCTAATTAGATCAATAATCTGGAAAAAACGCTCGGTTATTGCATTGCATGTATTAACACACACACAATCACACAATAAGATTGATGAGATAAAACTATTCTACTCAAGTTCAGTATAATTAGGTGGAGAGAAAGAGATTGGTTACTGAATCTTTGTTCAGCGAATCAACACCAAACATATGTAATAGGAATGATGCAACATCTACAACAGAGATATGCAAAATTTTACTACCAATAAAAATAAATAATATGAGGTGACAAGACTATAAAAATCAGATAGTGAAAGGAATGTGATTACGTTTATATGATTATGAGCGATAATAATTTATGCTCGAAGCGTCATCAAGTAATACTCTATCACTGCATGCTGTATATCCAATAAGCAAATGTAATATGAATATATATATATATATATATATATATATATATATATATATATATATATATATATATATATATATATATAGAAAGAGGAAGAATATTTGTAAAAATTTATAGGTTAAGTCATTGAATAAGTCTTCCCTGGTTAAGGCACGGATAAAGACTGCACACATTTCGTTTGAATAAAAAGTTTGGGATTGTTCATTCTAATTCTTTTAGCCTTACCTATAGGTAAAAGGTGAGTTCGAACTCTATCGGAAGGGTTCAGTAGAATGCAGTAGGTCATTTTAATCCCTATCGTTTATCCATTCTTTGACCAGTATGAACTAGATATGACGAAGTGAGACTTCTTATAGATTCGACCTGAACAGAGTGCAATGGACGCGTACTACTGAAGCCCTATGTTCCACTAGGAACCGAAGGGGAAAAAAATAGATTCAACCTGTCCTCTTCACAGCCATCAAACAAAATGCTCGGTAATTCGTCGGTTAAGTTATATAGTCAGATAACCGATATAAATGCCTCTACAGATTCAATTAAATTGGTAATACTCGGTAACTTGCACTTCGTTTGACATGAAAGACTGAAATGATTGACAACAATTTCGTCTGAAGTGAATTTCAGTAACAATGATTAGGTTTTTACAGTATTTATGTGCAGTCATTCTCAAAAGTTTAATGGGTTAACTTGAAATTTTAGTATTTGTTAAATTAGCAAACTCTCAGCCAGAAATGACGTAATATTTCTCATTATATAAGATGATCGTACCGTTTTCCAAAATATCTCATCCTATTTAGAAGCGAACTTGCATTCAGCCTAACAGTTTATGATTACTGTACAGTAAGCTCATTTATCTACAAATGACCAGAACTTAGACTTGATTAAGACACAGAAAACTAATATCAAGGGTCAAAACTGAATATTGATAATGGAAAATAGAATTAATCCTGTAAACAACTGACCCAATCTATCAGCCAATAAGATACAACAAGAATGTAAAAGTTAACGTCATAGTTCAACCAGTAGAAATAAATATGGAAAAGATGATGATGAGACTTTGGTACAGACAAGTCTATCAGGACAAGCTACTAAGCAACTCGTGATGTTGTCTAGAATGACAATGAAAGCTTCACTATTAAACCTTCCAGCTGAGAGGGAACAACACCAAAACAACTGTCATACATATCGAAAGAAAGGCAGAACAATAATAATGTAATGGGCTACTAACTGGTATGCACAGTTCCAGCCCACTCACACCAGTCAGCTGTACTGGTTAACCAGATGAAGGTGATCCGAACACCGTCTAGAGGTTTCCAACATCTGGAACCGAGCTCATCATCGATATACCTGGAATGATTCAACTCAAAAGAGTGAATTACTTACACCACTGGAAATCTAGCTAGTTACCTAAGCAGACTAATCATGTCTGGAATCAAATCGGGTGTTTGCAGAACGATACCGAGATCCCAGTTATTATATTTATAGTATGTGAAGAAAATATCGATTTAGATAGTCAAAATGTAGCATTTAAAAGCCCTAATTCTCCTTAAGGGTCTAGAATGAATTGTGCTGGTAAAAAGTTTGTTTATTCCTTACATTGTAGTCAAAAATTTCCCCTTATATGTACATATAAAATGTTTAAACTATTTGCATTTAATTCAAATAGCATTCTTGTTTTACCTGCAGAATGTTGTGAAGTACGTTTGATAACAAGGTGTTGTTTAGCTATCTGAATGATATCATAATGGTTAATAACTGACAAGTATGAATGTTGAGTTCTTTTGATTCCTCCTACAACTTCTGTACTTAAGTTCTACAGGCTTTCTGACATTCTAAACTAATTTGCAGTTGTTTTTATTGAAGCAGCATTGAGAATATCGAATTTTTTCATGTCTTTATCGTTTAATTTTAATAAATTCTTTGTGATATCTGTTGGTTAAACACCTAGTGGAGCTGATTTCTGCTTTCCATGGCGTTAGGTATACTTGTTTTGACTTGTGATATCTTCAAGATACTCTGTAAAAGCTTTTGTTTATGAATCCTGCTCGATGATTGGTTGACTGCTTCTGAAATAGCTTTCATGCGTGATAAACTTGTAGGTTAAGTAGTTTTTGGTAAATAATTCTCCTCAATCGTAACAAAGCATGTTGGAATAAATGAATGGATAATCACTAGACTTTAAAATATGCTTTAAGGATAATTTGTTCAGGATTTTGCGGTGTTTGCGTAGTGGGTTCTTTTACGCATTTATTCATGTGACAGGTTGAGCCAAGGTTATCAGATTTAAGATAATGGTTCCTACTGAATCTTCCCTGTAAAGTTTAACTGATCGGGTCTAATTATTTGTCCCCAGATAAGGTTATCGCCAAAGAATCTCCCTTCATCGTGCACTTCCAAATTTTCATCTCACTGGTTGCAGTTTGTTTACATTTCACGTATCCTAATTTCTACCAAAATGTCTACAACAAAGATGATTATTTATATTTCATGTTTGGTCTAAGAAATGGTCATAGGTACCATTTGTTACTCTAATGGCTTACTGTTTGACATAAATACATTCCGTCCTATAAAGTATCCTTGGGCGTACTTACAAATATCACTGTCAAACTGTTTGTTGGTTGTGAGGTGTGATAATTACTTACAATATGCAAGGAATAGAAATAAAAACATATTTCACTCTATTTGATTGCGTTCTCAACAGGTGATCACAATTTCAAGTATTTTAAGATCAGATGATGGTGAGACCTTTACTTTCAACTGCAGTTTTTCATGAGTTCGATGATACAATATTGCAGCAATAGTCAACACAAATCGAATCATTTAAATGGTCATTGCAAATTTTGGAGGACCTGATAGGCTTCTCTCTAGTCTTGGGCTTCCCAGTAGTGTATATCGATAAACTAAAGTCAAATTTGCAGGCAGTTAATAACCAGTAATTTTAAGGAATGGTTGCTCTGTTTCGCAAGAAGGAAGAAGTTGGAAATGTAAGCAGCTTAATTCCAACCGAGTAGTTGAATGTTTTACATTTACAACAAGATTGACGGTTGCAGACTGGATCTTTCATGAAGCTTTAGGTTCACGCTGTTCAGAATAACCAAATCATGATGAAACTACTATCCAGTACACTGTGGTTATCGATGGTTCTTTGGCTGATATTTGTTCATGATCAAAGATTATTTCAAAGGAAATAATCAGTTGTGAGCATACTTTATGTTGATAAAA